CCCAACGAGCCTGACCCGCTTGCTTGGTGAGTCTTATCTCGTCTCTCTCTTTCTCTGGGGCAGGGCGTTATATAGAGGGGGAATGGGCGGATAGCGGCGTGAGGGGGAGTGGGTGCAGAAACGTGGGCGGGACTGTGAGAGTGCAATCAATTTGGGCAAGAGGCGTATGAATGGGCGGAATACTAAGTGGGCGGTGCTGCATTTTGAAGGGTTGGCTGCTGGGGTTGCTTAGGACTACGTGGCTACTGGGGTTGAAGTGGCAATAGGCGGAGCTAAAATCGGGGTTGCAGATAGAGAGTACTACGTGGCTACTTTGTATGGTTAAATGTTAGCGATCTAAACGTGAGCATACTGTGAGTCGCATCACTTTAATGGCTTACACGCTGTTGCCCCTTTTATCTTTTTATTTTTTTATAAAAAAATAAAGGCTCACGTGAGCTCATACTGGAGGAATCCTAAAGAGTTATACAGAGGCATAAGAGTGTTCCTAACAAACGGTTAACCTGGCTACTAACGAGGGACTCTTACAAGGCTTGCAAGGCTACTGGAACTCTTAAAGCTACGAGGCTACTATTATTACCTTATTTATTTTCTTCACTTTCTCATTTTCCGTTTTATTCTATTCTTTTTTTTCCTTAACTAGTTTTATCATTTTTTTTTTCATTTTCCTTATGTTGTGCAAAACATTTAATTAGTTAGATGTATAGTTCCTTTTTATTTATGTTATCTGTTTCATTTAACCCTTTGTCTCTCTCTTTCTCTCTCTACAATTTTCTTTCTCTTATTTTCTCTGCATATCATTCTCTCTCTCTCTCTCTCTCCTATACCATTCTCTTTCTGTTATCCTCTCTGTGTCATTTTCTATCTTTCTCTTTTCGTATTCTCTCTCTATATCGTTCTCTCTATCTCTCTCTCTTTGTTAACGTCATCACTCTCTTTCTTTCTCTCTCTATCCCTACCATTCTCTTTCTGTTATCCTCTCTCTGTCATTTTTTCTCTCTCTCTCTCTTTCTCTGCGAATTCCCTTTTCGTATCCTCTCTCTATATCGCTCTCTCTCCTCCTCTCCTCTCTCTCTTCTCTTTGTCTAACGTCATTTCTCTCTCTCTTTCTTCTCTCTCTCCCTATTTCTTTGTTATCCTCTCTGTGTCATCTTTTTTTTTTCTCTCCTCTCTTCTCTTTTCCATCTTCTCTATGCTCTCTCTATATCGCACTTCTTCTTTGTTCTCATCTGTCTCTCTCTCTCCCTACCATTCCCTTTCTGTTATCCTCTCTATATCATTTTCTCTCTCTCTTCTCTCTGCCATCCTCTATTCCTCCTATCTCGCTCTCCTCTCTCTCTCTCTCTCTCCTCTCTCTCTCCTCTCTCTCTTGTTAACCGTCATCTCTCTCTTGCTAATACATTTGCTTGAAATCAGTGACGTTCATCCCTCAGGATTGCTTGAAATGTGAGTGACGTTTGCAATCTTTTCTCAGGCTGATTGCAACTGCTCTCTCCCGGACATCTTTGTTCGTTTGCAACAATTTACTTCCTTGGGTTGCAAGTGTGTCTATTCACTTCTCTTTTTGTGTTTGTCTCTGTTTTTTTTCTATATGATTGTTTTGTTTGTCTCTTCTTTTAATTTCTCTCTTCCTCTTCATTTTTTTTCTCTCTCCTTTTTGTTTTCTCTCGCTTCTTCTTCTTTTAATTTTTTTCTCTTCTCGCTTATTCAATCTTCTCTGTCTAATTTATTTTCTATGTATCCATCTACTCTGCGTCAATGTTTGTTTTTGGTCTCTCTTTATCCCCTTCAGTCGTTTCTCTCTCTTTCACCTTGTAGTTTCTTTCTTTCTCCTCTCCGTGTCATCTGTTTCTCTGGGGTCTGGCCAGTGCGTGTTCCTTATCAGTCTCCATCGCTCATACTATATACGACACCATTCGATCTATTCTCTCCTGCTCTCTCTATCATTGCTCGTCTTCCCCTCTCCTTCTCTCATCCTCTTACTCTCCTTTCATTTCGTCCCTGGTCTTTTTCATCTGTTTCACCTCACTTCTGAGCTCTCTCTCTCTTCTCCTCTTATTTCATGCTATGCTTGTTCCTATGGCCCTTTTCTCCATTTTGTGTGCCCTCGGTCATCCAGGGTTCCGAGTAATAATAAATCCATGATTCATAATATCGTTCATTTCTTTATTTATATTGGCTATTACTTTTGTGCTTACCTTCTTTTTGTACTTTTTTCCATTTTTTTTCGTTTCGCTACCATCAATCTGGGTTCGGCGCCTATTAATTTGTACTAATATTTGGTTATGCCTTCCATTGTGCATCTTTGTGAAGATCAGTGTACATTATCGTTCTGCCGTGATGTAAAGTGGTGGAGATAATGCACACACCACCATACATATGTCGCAGTGTCGCGTGGGGCGTCAGGTGGCGTGGTT